ATACATTTATAAAAAAAAAAAAAAAAAAAAAATAAAAACATAAAAAAAAGCAACTCCTTAAGGGAGGTAAAGCCCGAGGCTTCATCTTGCAGAGTTAGTTCCGATTGCGAGGGATGCCTATGGGCCGGCTCTTTGTGCCTGGCTCCCAGCTGGCGTTTTCTCTCCGCGGCTTCCACCATGGCTTTGGAAGGCAGGTGGTCTCAACATAGATAGGCGATCAGTCATCAGTGCTTTCTCCGTGGCTTTCTTCTCCTCTTCCATCTTCCCTGAGTCTTTGCACCGCCCGGGCTTAGGTTTGTTCTGGGGCTCACGACCCTGGACAGCACCACGAATTTCGGGGTAGCTGTTTAAGTATTTTAAGGGAGATTCAGGTTAATGTCAGGGTTCCAAATAGCATCCGAAATTAAATCAGAGACCAAGGCAAAGTACTGCTCAAAGTTCCAATTTATTAAAAGAGCCATGTTGGCACATCTGGGAAACCCAAATCTGAAAGCTACCCAGTTTTCCCCACCCAATTGAAAGTTCATGATCTTGCACCCACATCCACAATGATAACATGATTTATGACAGGCTGAAGGGAGGACAGAAACACTGGCAAAGTTCAAAAGCAGATAAAGAAAGCAAAAAAGATAGCTGCGAATAAGAAATGCCTAATGAAGAATGCCTAATGAAGCTGTTAATCACTGCTTTTTGTATTACAATATTGGGTCGCTTATTATGAAGCAGGCATTGTTAGGGTACTTTACATCCATCACATGTTCCAATCTTCCACTGCCATGCTGGCAGTTTCACCCATCCAGTTCTGATCAGGTGCAGAGACAAAGGGTGACCTTGGCTTTCTAGAAAGGAATTTTATTTTGGCTACATAGCACCTAATGCCATACAATTTCCCCCTTCCCTTTTCCCACAATAGAAAAGGCATAGTAAAATAATAGAAAGTGTGGCAGGCCAAAGATCCATGAGGAATATGGCTGCAGTCCTGACCCTGTGCTCTTCTGGACACAGAGAGTCTTAACAATGAAACGCTAATCAGTAATAGGATATGAGGCCTGGACATTATGATATTTGGAAAGCTAGCTATTCTAAGGCAAGTATTAGAATTTTTGTAACGCAATGATCATTCCATCATGAGTCATAAAGGAAAATATATATTTAGCTCTTATGGAAAGATTTGAATTGAAATCTATTGACTTCAGTTTGCCATTTATCAAAGAAGCCTTTAAATACATTTGAAGTTGTCTTTAGCAAATTGGAGACAGTGACCTGCTTCAAAACTAAACGTGTATGTATCGTTGTAGATTGACTAAGATGAAATATATGAATGAATTTCTGTGATTAACTAATTATCAGTAACACAGAATATGTGCCTAAATAAAAATATGTTATTGACTTTTCACATGAGAATATTTTCAGTTAGATTCGATCAGAATAGAGCTGGAAGGGACCTTGGAGGTCTTCCATTTCAGATAGGTGGCTGTCCAGTCTTTTTTTAAAAACTTCCAGTGATGACTCACTTACAACTTCTGAAGACAAACTATTTCACTAGTTAATTGTCTGCACTGTTAGGAAGTTTCTCTTTAATTCCAGGTTGCTTCTCTCCTTGATTAGTTTCCATCCATTGTTTGTAACGTGGTGACCAAAACTGGATGCAGTATTCCAGATGTGGCCTTACTAAGGCTTTTTAAAGTGGTTTTACTACTTCACATGATTTTGATTCTATGCCTCTGTTTATAAAACCAAGAATTGTATTTGGATGATCACTTAAACATGAACTGGTGGTTCATGTTTAAGTGATCATCCACTAGGACTCCAAAATCCCTTTCACGGTTACTGTACTAGTATCTTTGGTTTTTCCTGCCCAGGTGGAAAACCTTGCTTTTCTCCACATTAAATTTAATGTTGGATAGGAGGCCACTGTTCAACTGTCAAAATCTCTTTGGATCTTGAGCTTTCTTCTGGGGTATTGGCTATTCCTGCCAGCTTAATGTCATCTGTAAATTTGATGAGTTCCCCTTCCATTCCCTCATCTAAATCATTTATGAAGTTATTGAAGAGTACTGAGTCTAAGACGGAACCTTGTGGTACCCCACAGCTTACTTCCCTCCATGTAGATGCAGTACCATTAAGAACTACTCATTGAGTATGGTTTGTCAGCCAGTTATAAATCCATTTGGTGGTGATGCTATCTATCCCACACTTTTCTAGTTTACCAAGAAGCAGGTTGTCATCTACTTTGCCAAATGCCTTGCTGAAGTCTAATTATAATATGTCCACAGCGTTTTGCTGGTCTACTAATTTAGTCACTTTGTCAAAGAATGTAATAAGGTTGGTTTAGCATGATCTATTTTTAACAAACCCGTGCTGGATCCTAGTTATAATTTTATTCATTTCTAGATGTTTACAGATCTGTTTTGGGATTATTTTTCCAGGATCTTCCCAGGTATTGATATTAGACTGATCTTAGAAGCGGTATAGGGCAGTGATGGCTAACCTGTGTGAACCTCCAAAATGCAATGTGCATGTGGCCCCAGCACACAGGTCCCCTGCATGCGCCCTGCCCAGCTGCCATGCATGTGTGGCAGAGACCCAAAGACCAGCTGGCTAGCAGGGCACGCATGCGCAGCGGAGCTGAACTGGGACAATGGCTCGCATGCCATCAATGAGGAGGCTGTGTGCAACCTTTGACACCTGTGCCATAGGTTCCCCATTTCATTTCATTTCCCTATTCTATTCT